TCGAAATCTGTCGAACGCCATTGCGCGTGTGCCGTCGCGAGAATCCTCTGCAAACAATGGGACGAAGTGCAGACGCGCGCGTCGTCGCGGGCGTATGCCGAAAACCTTCAAAACCCATCGGTTTCGGAAGGATTTCAAAATCGTGCGTCCAAAAAACCTACACAAACCCAAGGTTTCGCAACACGGATTTTCAACAAAAGCGTGCGTGCGCGCTCTTGCGTCGTCGTCGTCGTCGTCGTCGTCGCCGTCCTCCCCCCTCCCGCGTCGTCGTCGTCGTCGTCGTCGCCTACGTCGTCCTCTGTCTTTCCTCGTGTTCGTCGTCGTCGTCCTCTTTGGCGTCGTGGTCGTTTCCGTCGTCGTTGTCGCCGTGGTCGTCCTTCCTCCTCCTGCCTCGTCGTCGTCGTCGTCCGTCGTCGGCGTCTCGTCGTCGTCCCTCCTATTTCGTCGCCGTCGTCGTCGTCGTTGTCGTCGTCGTCTTCCCTCCTCCCTCGTCGTTGTCGTCGGCGTCGCCGTCCTTCCTCCTTCGTCGTCGTTCGCGTCGTCGCCGTCCTCCCTCCTCCCTCGTCGTTGTCGTCGTTGTCGCCGTTGTCGCCGTCGTCGTCCTTCTTCCTCCCTCGTCGTCGCCTTCGTTGGCGTCGTCGTCGTCGTCGTCGTCTTCGTCGTCGTCGGCGTCGGCGTCGTTGTCGTCGTCGAAGTCGTCGGAGACGTCGTCGGGGTCGTCCTAGTCGTTGTCGTCGGTGTCGTCGTAGTCGGTCTGAAGAGGTTTTGCAAAGCAAGTTGCGGGTGGGTGGGTGGGATGTTTGCGCGAGCAGTGGAGAGGACAGCTTCAAGACGGTCAAATTGGACTCTCCTTTCTACCAAGAGAATAGACTCTACCCCCCCCTCCGGACTTCACGCTTTCCCCCTGGGATAATATAATTTCATATAGATATATATATATATATACGTATATATATACATATATATATGTGTCTAAATAAATATATATATATATATATATATATACGCAGCACACTCGTCCATCCGAGATATGAAATCATACCATCCCAGGCAGGCCGGTTTCCCCCCCTGAGGGTCCCTTGTAAAAAAACACTATGCGGTGACATGTTTTGCTGTAACATAGCACTTGTTCACGAATCCCTGGGAAAATTATGACAAAGTGCACACGCGCGCGTCGTCGCCCGCGCATGCCGAAATCCTTCAAAAACCTTCGGTGCCGGAAGGATTTCGCAATCGAGTTTCCAAAAAACATACAAAAACAAGGTTTCGCATTCTGATTTGCTAAAAAAAGCTTCCGCGCGAGCTCTTGCAAAATCTGAAGAAATCCATGGCTTTTTTTTTCAAGATTTCCACAACATGCTACCAAACGAGCGTCGCGCGCGCATGTCGAAATCTGTCGACCGCCATTGCGCGTGTGCCGTCGCGAGAATCCTCTGCAAAAAACGGGACGAAGTGCAGACGCGCGCGTCGTCGCGCGCGTACGCTGGAATCCTTCAAAACCCATCGGTTTCGGAAGGATTTCAAAATCGCGCGTCCAAAAAACCTACAAAAACCCAAGGTTTCGCAACAACGATTTTCAACAAAAGCGTGCGCGCGCGCTCTTGCGTCGTCGTCGTCGTCGTCCTCCCTCTTCCCTCGTCGTCGTCGTCGTCGTCGCCGTCGTCGTCTTCTGTCTTTCCTCGTCGTCGTCGTCGTCGTCGTCTTGGCGTCGTCGTCGCTCCGTCGTCGTTGTCGCCGTGGTCGTCTTTCCTCCCTCGTCGTCTTCGTCGGCGTTTCGACGTTGTCCCTCCTATTTCGTCGCCGTCGTCGTCGTCGTCGTCTTCACTCCTCCCTCGTCGTTATCCTCCTCCCTCGTCGTCGTCGTCGTCCGTCGTCGGCGTCTTGTCGTCGTCCCTCCTATTTCGTCGCCGTCGTCGTCGTCTTCGTCGTCGTTGTCGTCGTCTTCGTCTTCCCTCCTCCCTCGTCGTTGTCGTCGTCGGCGTCGCCGTCCTTCCTCCTTCTTCGTCGTTCGCGTCGTCGCCGTCTTCCCTCCTCCATCGTCGTTGTCGTCGTTGTCGCCGTCGTCGTCCTCCCTCCTCCCTCGTCGTCGTCTTCGTTGGCGACGTCGTCGTCGTCTTCGTCGTCGTCGTCGGCGTCGGCGTCGTCGTCGTCTTCGTCGACGTCGACGTCGGCGGTGTCGTCGTAGTCGGTGTCGGCGGCGCCGTCGTCGTCGTTGTCGCTGTCGTCGTCGGCGTCGGTGTCGTGGCCAAGTGCCATGTGGTACCTACCGTCACGGTCTTGTCTTAAGAAGTCTTGCGACCAAGTTGCGGGTGGGTGGGTGGGATGTTTGCGCGAGCAGTGGAGGTGGTCAGGCGCGGTGCAGGGTAGTCAATCCCACCCCTTAGGCTGCACCACACATACTGCACCGCGTAGACCGCACCACATGCATTGCACCACATAGATTACATCACATAGGATGCGCCGCATTGATAGCACTGCAGAGAACGCGCTAGAACACAAATAGTGGGGCCATGCTGGCTAACATGGCCCTCTTAGTACCCAGAAATGCGATGTCCAGAAATGCGATGTCCTGATTTTTTCAGGACGGCGTCCCCGAAGTCCCGACCCTTTCCCCGGGGCCAGTTTGTCATCCCGAGTCGTTTCTTGACGGTCCCAGGGGCCGGCGAGGGCCCCCCGGGGCCGAAAACCATGTTTTTTTACGACGCGATCATGTCTGGGCTACTTTTTTGGGAAAGGGAAGGAGTCAGGGTTGACGTCCGCGGACGACAGGTTTCCCCCGGGGCCGTAGGCGACCCGAGGAGGAGGGGGAGGCGGAGGAGGAGGCGGAGGGGGAGGGGGATGAAGAGGGGGAAAGGAATGAGGAGATGGAGGAGGAGGAGGAGGAGGAGGAGAACACGCAGAAACAAAAACTCGTGGCGGTTTCTGCCACGCCGCGAGGGGTCTGGCTCTGAGAGACCCTCCGGCCCTCCAGCGCCAGCACCAGCTTGGTGGCGCAGCACGCCTCCAGCCGCGGCACCTCCACGCCGGCGCCGAGGAAGGGGCCCAGCGCGCCCGTCATGGCGGCGCGGATGTCCTTCCACGCCGAGTCCTGAGGGGACAACTGACAGAGGTGGGGCGATAAAAACAACACATGTCCACTGCTCCCTGGCCAGGCGCCTCCTGAACCCAGCAGCGGTGCCTACGCCACGCCCTCCTGGCTTGGGCACGAGAGCGTACACACAGCTCCTGGGCCCAGGAAGGGCCCGTCCAGTGGGCAGTGGATGTGTACAGATTTCGTGGCCCGATGAGGAGCACAAGGAGGAGGGGTGGGGTATCTGGGGCTCGAAGGGTATGCATCCACCTGGAACCGGCGATAGAGATGAGAGACCGGTAGCGCGCCCGCACGTTCCTGGGAAGGGGTAGGGCTATCTTGTCCTCATCGACGAGCAGTGGGCGATTCGTGGTCGTCGATGGCATAAGAAGGGACTAGCTCAAGGGGGGAAACATTGACCTGCAAGCGGCGATAGCAATAGGCCGCCAATAGCCAATCCGCACGTTCCTGGGGGGGATGGGGCTATCGGGCCATCATGAGCGAGACAATGGGTGATTCGGGGTCGATGCGTCCCCTGCTGAGCGCATCCCCCCCCGAACGATGCCCCCCGAGGGCGCCTTATGATTTTTGGACCAGAACTCCGCTCTTTCATGGCCGTTCGGGACGATCCGGCACCCCCCGGAAAGCTCTCGGCGAGGCGCAGCCGCTGAAACGCATCCCGAGGCTGAAGAACAGCCGAGAACCGACGAAAACGTCGGAAAACCTCGAACCTCGAACCTGAACCCCTACCCTCGAACCTCGAACCTCGGACCCGTGCCGTTGCCCGTGTCCTGATTTCGGTTTCGCCGTACTTTGGCTTATTGTCCGACTTACACATGTGTCGGAAATGCACCCCAAAAACTGCGGGGAAAAAAGGACGAGAAACCCGCCTCGAAAAAGTGGGACCGGATATTTCCGCAGAGGCATGGCGAAAGCAGCGACGGCAAAGTAGGGCACACATCAAAATCAGAGGAGCTTGAAAAGCAGGGCGGAGATTTCTGCCCTCCTCGCGAAATCGCCTAAGCACGGCGGATCAGGAGTCAGGGTGGATGAAGAGGAGAAGGAGGAGGAGGAGGAGGAAGAGGAGGAGGATGAAGGAGGAGGAGGGGGAGGTAAGAATGAAGGAGAGAGGATAGAGAAGGAGGGTAGAGGATGGAGGATGGAGGATGGAGGATGAAGGAGGAGGAGGAGGAGGACCAGTGTAAAACCACGATGCACCAGCGATGTCGCAACAATTCCTCCATCCAAGTTTCCAATTCGCAAGTCCCTACAAGAAGTCACCTTCATTGTGGGCATTGGCCCATTACAAGACAATCGTCTGAGAACCCTCCATCGTGCCGGAACACCGTAACTGCTACTTCAACGCCGCGGGCCAAAGTTGGTGTAGCATGCTGACACTTGTAAATCGTGCCAGAGCGCCGTTCCTGGAACTTCATCACCGCGAATCAGTGTGACTGATGCGCCCTGATAATTCTAAATCGTGCCAGAACACAATCCTTGGGATTTCGACCATGCTATCTCCTTGAATCCGCTGTAAACTCCAAGACGATTGAGCACGGCGCAAAGGCGAGAGCCGCATTTTGAAATGGAACCGCCCTTCATCCGTGAAACTGTTGCGCGGCGCTAAGACGACAACTACATGTTGAAAATAAACCGGCCTCCATCCATGAAGCTGTTGCAAACTTGTAAGGCGAATGTGCACGACACTGAGGCGAGAGCCACATGTTGAAAAGGAGCCGCCCTCCATCCGTGAAACAGTTGCAAACTTATAAAGAGACATGTGCGCGGCGCAACAGAGAGAACCACATTTTGAAAACCACCTGCCCTCCATCCGTGAAACGGTCGCACATGGCAAGCTTCAGGAACATCGATGGTGAGGAAATCTCAAGCGAAACGCCCGGCACCCCCTACTGACACGTCTGGGGGTGCGACAGGGAGGAGTTCCCAGACATGCGATGTCCTGATTTTTTCAGGACGGCATCCCCGGAAGTCCCGACCCTTTCCCTGGGGCCGGTTTGTCATCCTGAGTCGTTGTTTGACGGTCCCAGGGGCCGGCGAGGGCCCCCCAGGGCCGAAAATAGCGAAAAACCTCCGTCCAGATTGTTTTACGACGCGATCATGTCTGGGTTATTTTAAAAGAAAAGGGACGGAGTCAGGGTTGCCCCCCCGACGTCCGCGGACGACAGGTTTCCCCCCAGGCCGTAGGCGACCCGAGGAGGAGGAGGAGGAGGAGGAGGAGGAGGGAGGGAGGAGGAGGAGGAGGTGGAGGAGGGGGAGGGGGATGAGGAGGGGGAGGGGGATGATGACGGAGAGGGAGGAGGGAGGAGGGAGGAGGAGGAGGAGGAAGGAGGTGGAGGAGGAGGAGGAGGAGGAGAGGAAAAGGGTTGCCCCCCGACGTCCACGGACGACAGGGAGGTCAGCAGCGCCGGGGACGAGGACAGCTCGGCCAGGCGGCTGGTGGCCTTGCCGTCGGCCGCCGCCTGGTCCACGAGCAGCTGCAGCTCTGCCGCGGAGGGGGCCTTCCAGGCAGAGCCACCTCCACCTCCTCTCCTCCTCCTCCTCCTCCTCCTCCTCCTCCTCCTCCTCCTCCTCCTCCTCCTCCTCCTCCTCCTCCTCTCCTCCTTCTCGATCCCCGATTTCCAGGAGGAGCTGGTGACCCCCATGGTGGGGATCCCTCCCCCCCGTCACTGCCCGCAGAGCCTTGAGGGCCGCCCTGCCCACGGCCTCCCGCAGCACGGTCGACTTGAAGGACAGCACCGCGGGGGGCATCCCAGAGTCCGGGGGGAAGTCCTCTCGGGGGACGCCAGCCCCAGACATTCATGGTAGTCTGCGGCCCCATGTGGGAAAGAGAGGGAGGAGGAAGAGGAGGAGGAGGAGGAGGAGGAAGAGGAGGAGGAGGAGGAGGAGGAGGAGGAGGAGGAGGAGGAGGAAGAGGAGAAAGAGGAGGAGGAGTAGGATGAGGAGGAGGAGGAGCAGTCCCGGGAGTCCCTGGCTCCAGAAAGTGAAGCGGCGTCGCTCCGCAGAGACGAAAACCGCCACCCCGGGCCTCCCAAATGGGAGGGCGCAGCCGGCAGGCGCGCGGCACAAGACGATCAGGGGGTAATTAGGCAAAGACCTCGTCGCCCAGCGACTCGCCGCCCAGACAAAATGGCATTGTGCTTGTGTCACCTTGTCACTGCGAAAGTACTTCCCGACCATCACCCCTGCCAAATCGACTGGCATGCGCAACTGGGTTGGCTCCCCAGGGTGAGCAGAAGAAAAGCCCCACAGGACTTACGGACCACGTGGCCATGCCTCCCGACGAAGTGCGCAATCCCCGCGCCTCATAGCCAGTGCGAAGCACGGCACCAGCGTCACGGGCGCAGCTAAAGCACCGCTGCGACGGGCAAGATGCCGCGTGGCTGTTCAGGCCGACGTAGGCCGGTTTGCGGATCGAGATTCGAGGAGCATCAAGGATCGAGGAGGAGACGGAGGACACACGAGGCGGATTGAGGAGGGGCGAGGAGGCGCCGCGGATCGAGGATCGAGGAGGATCGAGGATCGAGGGGAAGGAAGAAGAGGAGATCGAGGACCTTTGGATCGAGGATCGAAGACCGAGGACCGAGGATCGACGAGAAGGTCGCAGATCAAGGATCGAGGAGGGGTAGAAGGGGCCCTCGCCGGGCCCGGGCCCGTCAAAAACTGCTCAGGATGGAAAGCGCGCCCCGGGGAAGTGGTCGGAACTTCCTCTGCGGGGACACCAAGCCGATCCTTGAAGGGGGTTGGGGCAACGGGTCAGAGGAGGCAAAGGTACCGACGCGGCTGCCTTTGCATCGTTTTCGTCTTTGGGAGCCTTTCGGGAGGCCTTCGTCGTCACCGCTGGATTCGCCTCGAAATTCTGGCCAGAACGCACCACGGGAGAGGTCCAAGGAGTAGCGTCATGGGCACGTTAGCCCAAATCTCCAACCATCTGATTTGTACTCTTCGGGCGTTTTTCCCTCATCCACTTCCAGGTCTCCGACACTGAGATCCTGGCGCCACGGTTTGTCCGCAACGGGCGGTCTTGCTCTGTTTGGGGCCGCGGGGCCGTCACGGATCGATCCAGCTCGAAGAACATGCATCAAAAAGTTCGTGTCAATGTGTCCGTTCGTGATTTTAGCGATGTTGAAACTTGGTTCGTCACGTCGGACCTTGGGTCGCCAGCCTCAGAGCCCTTCTTTTATGTTCGCGAAAACGCCCGTCACAGACCCCGCCCCCCTGGTAACGTCATGATTCGCGCCGGCGCCGTCTAGGAATCAGCTGTTCCTAAACCATCCGTCTAGGAATTAGCCAAATATACGATGAAGTCCGACACCGCGTTTGCAACGGTTGATGTGTGTCGGGCCCCTGCCTTCCGTTACTCCCACTTCGTGCAAAGCAATAGTTCAGGCCCCCCGACGCATTGAACGCAACATCCTTTTATCTGATTCACTTCGTCCCTGCGTGTTTGGCCTTCCGACCAAAAACATATCCTAAAATTGAAAGTGCAAGTGGCCAGGTCCCGTGGCATGTCCACCACCACCACCCTGCCGCCCCCGACCCCCAGCCCCCCCCCCGCCCCCCCGGCCGGCGTTCGCCCGAGCGCTGTGGCGGATCGCGAGGCAACGCTACTGGATATTTGATGTTTTCCATCTTGGCGTTTGGCCTGGATCGGCTGCTCATTCTGGAGAACTCTCGTCACCACGGCTGGATTATCCTCGAAATCCTGGTCAGAGCGCGCCCCAAGAGAGGTCTGGGAATTAGCGGTATCGGTACGTGAGCGCAGATCTCCGACGATATGACTTCTTCAACCCGGGCGTTGTCCCTTCGTTTCGGCCTCTAGGGCCCAATATCGGAGGCCGGAGCCATCAAAACTCGATCCGGGACGAAACCCGACCCCCAGGGAAGGGTCGGGACACTGAGGCGCTGTATGCAGTAGGCGCTCGACCACAAGAAACCTCCCATAAGGAACCCAACCCTGAGACCCCAGGACGTCCATGGACCTTCCGTGTGGGAGCGCCACGCTTTCCATCGCAAAACCCTCGAAACCCAAGGAACCCAGGGCACCCTGGAGGCAAGCGGAGGAGGAGGAGGAGGTGGAGGAGGAGGTGGAGGAGGAGGAGGAGGAGGAAGGGAGGGAGGGATGGAGGGAGGGAGGAGGCAGGGAGGGAGGGAGGGAGGAGGGAGGAGGAGGAGGAGGAATAGGAGGAGGAGGAGGAGGAGGGGAGGAGGAGGATAGGAGGAGGAGGAGGAGGAGGCGGAGGAGGAGGAGGAGGAGGAGGAGGAGAAGGAGGAGGGAGGGAGGGAGGGAGAGGGAGGGAGGGAGGGAGGGAGGGGGAGGGAGGGAGGGAGGGAGGGAGGGAGGAGGAGGAGGAGAGGAGGAGGAGGAGGGGGAGGAGGAGGAGGAGGGAGGAGGAGGAGGAGGAGGAGGAGGAGGGAGGAGTTGGAGGATTTGGAGGAGAAGGAGGAGGAGGAGGCAAGCAGGGTGCTTCTTGGCACGGGTTTCCCCTGCACGCCTCCCTGGCCGGGCCAGGCGGGCGCGCACACCGACGTCGGGGGCTCTGCACGGGCCTAGGCTCGGCGAGGCCCCAGAGACGTGTCCGACGCCCTCCCGTGGTTTCAACACGGGGTCCCGAGGGGCGTGGCTTAATGGGGGGGTCATAAGCCCAAACATCGGGCGTCTCGAACACATCGAGACCAAGGTTTTTCATAGTTTTCGGCCTCTCGGGGCCCTCGCCGGGCCTCGGGACCGTCAAAAAACGACTCGGGATGGAAAACCGGTCCCAGGGAAGTGGTCGGGAGGTCGGGGGCCCGCGTCTCGAAAAAATCGAGACGTCGGATGTCTGGGACTTGGGGGGGGTCAGAAACGGTCCCCTTTCCTGCCCCTGTCGGGCCCCTCCGGAGCCCCAGGGGGCTCGTTTAGGCACCGTTTGGGTGCCTTTTCGGACCACCCTCGCCACCCCGCATTACGCAACGCCCACTTTGGAGGTCCGGGCTCGTTCCCCGGGGCCGCGGCTTGTCGTCCCGAGCCGCTGTCTGCCCGCCCCGGGTCCCGAAGCCGGGCCCCAGGGGCCGAAGGAGACGACGAAGCGCGTGCATCCGCCCCGACGGTCTCGTCCGTCGAGGGAGGGGGGCCGGGGGGGCCAGGCGGCGCCCCCCTCGAGTCTTTTTTTTTGGGGGGGGCAGAGGGGGCCTCATGAGGCTTCGGAGACCAGGGGCCACGCACCGACGATGAACGCCGCGCCACCTCCCCAGTGGCACAGCGGCCTGTGCCGAAGGCCAGCGTTCGGGAGGACCCGCAGATCCCGAGGCAAGGCCAGGACAACTATTCGCCAGGGAGCACCCATCTACCCCGCGGAGTGCCAGGGGCACGCGAGGCGGCGCCCCCCTCGGAGTCCTTGAGGATGGCAACCAGGGCGGGCAGCTTCTCCCCCTTGAGCTTGTCCTTCTGGCTGCGGCACACCTCCACCAGCAGCTGGCTGGCCTTGATGACGGCCAGGACGTCGAAGAGCATCGGCAGGTCCCGCGGCGTCGCCTCCTTCAGGAGCTTCTCGAGGCCTCGGTCCGCCTGGAATTCAGTCGGGCGTGTCCCCTACAAGCGGATTTTGGGCGAGAAAAACAAAAATACTCCACACATATTCAGACAATATGCAAAAATGGTAAACAAATCGTCCACAGGCTACTGTTTCCTATGTTTGAACATTCCCCCCGTAGAAGGACAGGCCCGACTTGAGCCTGGAGACCCCGCAGGAACCGCTCCAGGCTCTTCAGCTGCTTGAGCGCGAAGGCCGCGTGCAGCAGCTTCAGCAGGTCCTCGGTCTTCCACTGCTTCCCCATCGACGAGAACCTCTGGGCCAGGCCGCGAGGGAGCGAGGAGGCGAAGGAGATATAAGGAGGAGGAGGAGGAGGAGGAGGAGGAGGAGGAGGAGGAGGAGGAGGAGGAGGCGGAGGCGAAGGCGAAGGCGGAGAAAGAGGAGGAGGAGGCGGAGGCGAAGGCGGAGAAAGAGGAGGAGGAGGAGGAGGAGGAGGAGGAGGAGGAGGAGGAGGAGGAGGAGGAGGAGGCGAGGGGAGGACGGGAACCTCTCGGCCAGGGCGCCTACTCTCTTGAAGAGGCCCTCGTGCGGCACGTCCGCGGCGGCAAACGCGCTCGCGAGCACGGCGATGAAGTTGGGGCTCCAGTCCGCGAGGGGCTGGGACTCGGCCATGGCCTTCTGGACGCAGACGCGCGCCAGCCCCTCCAGGGCGTCGGGCGCAAAGCTGGCGCCGTTCTTCCTCTCCTCTCTCGGCGGCAAGGAGGGAAATAGACACACAGACACAATGAATCGTCGATCCCCAAGAAAATATGGGAAACTATGGGAAGTGGGCGGGAAGACAAAACCCAGAAAATATGGGAAAATATGGAGAACCTTTTTATTTTGTGTGTATTTATTTGTGTGTGTCAGGAGGGGAAAGAACACATAGACACAATTAATCGTCGATTCCCAGAAAATATGGGAAAATATGGGAAGTGGTGGGGAAGACAAAAACCCAAAAAATATTCAAAAATATGGGGAATCTTTTTATTTGTGTGTATTCGGGGGGGGGGGGAAGCGAGAGAGGGCGGGCCGTCTCGGAAGGCTCGGAAGGCCCCGGGCTCTCCGACTGCCTATAGCCTTCCCCGAGGCTGCGCAGCCAGAACTCCCCAGAAGGCCAGGGGGGGCTTCCGAGCAGCCCCGACGCCTCCCGAGGGTGGCCTGCCGTCTCACTCGCTCCCCCCCCCGGCGCGCCGCCGACCCTTATCGGAGAAGGGCGACCTGGGACGACCCCAGACCCCCGACGTAATGATTTTTTCATTACGTCGACCTCCAGAGGTCCCGACCCTTTCCCCATGACCGGCTTTGCATCCTGAGTCGTTTTTTGACGCTCCCGAGGCCCGGCGAGGGCCGCCGGAGGCCGAAAATTAGGAGAAACCTCCCGTCATGATTTTTTCATTACTCGAGGGGGTCTGGGACGGCAGCTCACAGACTCGGCCCGCGGGCCCCTCCCAGGGCGCCCAGGGGCGCCGCAGCTGCGCCCCGCCGCGGCGACAGGGGGCGCCCCCGAAGGCCAGCTGGGCGACGAAAGGGAGCGGGCCTTGCGCAAGACGGCGCAGCGACCCTGCGCCCCAGACCCCCTCGAGTAATGAAAAAATCATGACGGGAGGTGTTTCCTAATTTTCGGCCTCCGGCGGCCCTCGCCGGGCCTCGGGAGCGTCAAAAAACGACTCAGGATGCAAAGCCGGTCATGGGGAAAGGGTCGGGACCTCTGGGGGTCGACGTAATGAAAAAAACATTACGTCGGGGGTCTGGGGCGGTGGCTTCCGCTGGGAGGCCAACGAACCGACCTCGCTTTTGACCACCCCCTCGCTTCCAAAAAGAGCGGAAAGACAGCAAGCTACGACCCGCACCGGCCAGGCCGCTTGACGAGGAGGCGCGCGGCATGACTTGGTTTTTGGGAGGCCTGGAAATGGGCACCAACACCAATTCAGGGGTTTGCCTCCACAGGGGGAAGATGATCCTAGATTTCGGTGTTGGTGGTAATATTTCGACCACCTTGAAGCTAAAATAAGACCACCATCACCGAGATCGGGATCTTCTTCCCTCGGTGGAGGCACACCGCCGATATTGGCGTTGGTGTCAACTTCTGGGCCTGCGAATTTTGCCCGGAAGCGAAAGCGGGGCAGGTGGTTCACGCTCTGATGCGCGGGCCGCCAGCGCGGCACTCCACACTGGGGGCGAGGGCGGTGACGCCCGACCTCACGCCGGCAGCCTGCGCGCGAGTGTCGGCGCAACCGGCACCGTTGTTTGGGGGGCGTCGCTCCACTGCCGTTGCCTCGATTCGCCCTCCTCGGCTCTCCTCGCGCACCACCAGCGCAACGGACATCGCGAGCCGGCAGAGGCCCTCCGGGTCGCAAGGCGCGGTGTCCTGAGGAGACAAAGAAAAGGTACCGGTACCGCTACTCCCCGGATCCTCTCCCGGGGCGCGTGCTCGCCAGAATCTCGAGGAGAATCTACCCGTGGCGGCGAGGGATCTCCGGGACGCGCAGCGGCGTCGGCAGCTCTCCCTCCCCGGATCTCCGGCGACTTCCCGAGCTGCTCGCACGCGGCCGCCAGCTTCTTGAACGCCGCCAGCACCTCCGGGCGGACATCCGGCGGCAGCTGGGCGGTAACCACCTCGGGGGGAAGCCTCCCAGACATGCGACGTCCTGATTTTTTCAGGACGGCGTCCCCGGAAGTCCCGACCCGTTCCCTGGGGCCGGTTTGCCATCCTGAATCGTTTTTTGACGGTCCCGAGGCCCTGCGAGGGCCCTCTGGGGCCGAAAATAGCGAAAAACCTTCGTCCTGATTGTTTTACGACGCGATGATGTCTGGGCTCCCTCCTTCTCCTCCTCCTCGCCCTCCTCGCCCTGGCCCTCCGCCGCCCGGCTCCTGCTGGCGCGCCATGGCCGGAGCTCCGAGGCGAGCCCACCCAGCGGCGACGAGGCGCGAGGCGCCGCCCGAGGGCCCAGACGGCCCCCGCACTGGAGCGGTGGGCCTGTTGTCCACCACCACCGCCAGAAGTTGGAGGGGGGAAGGGGAGGAGGAGGAGGAGGAGGAGGAGGAGGAGGAGGCGGAGGAGGAGGAGGAGGGGGAGGAGGAGGGAGGCGGAGGAGGAGGAGGGAGGAGGAGGAGGAGGAGGAGGAGGTGGAGGAGGAGGAGGAGGAGGAGGAGGAGGAGGCGGCGGAGGAGGAGGAGGCGGAGGAGGAGGAGGAGGAGGAGGAGGAGGACCCCCTCCCACTCCAACTTGTGGTGGTGGTGGTGGGAAGGCAGGCCCCTCATGGAAGGCGAGACCACCAGGTGCGCCAGCCACGCGCTCATCTGCGCGAAGGGCGTGAACGCGCTGCTGTCCAGCGACAGCACGGACCCCTCGGCGAGCTCGACCTGAGGAGGGCCACGCCGGTGGGCTCCCTGAGCTCCCAGCGTCGCAGCGTCTCACCACGGGCGGCTCTGCGCGGCTTCAGGTCGACTGCTTTGCCATGAGTGGGCCTGCGTATTGCGTATTCGCCTGGCCTGGCGTATTCACGACCGAATACCCAGCAGGTCAGGGTACTGAATACCCAGCTGGCCCGGGCAGCCCCCAGGCCCTCAGAGGTCGATCTGGCGTGCAGCACGCCGCAGAAAGATGGGATCCAGGGTTCTGGTCGTGGTGTTGCGCAATGCTGCACCTCTCTGCGCAGAGTCGGATCTGGGATCCAGGGTTCGTTCGCGATGCGGCACCTGTGTTCGCAAAGTCGGATCTCAGGGCTAGGGCACCCCCGCGTCTGGCCCCCTCTCCGAGGGCTGGAGAGGGACGAACGACAAGGGAGGACGACCGAGGACACGCGAGACGAGGAAGGAACTGCGCGAACCGCTGCCAGCCCGTGAGGGCGCGCATGCCGCGCTCACATGGCCCTCTCCAGACACGCTCGTCTCGAATGACACGGGCATACGTATCCAGAGAGGGGGGCTACAGATCCCCAAGGCTGGAGAGGGGGGCTACAACCGAGGCGTCGTACAAAAAAACCTCTGTGCGTTCAAAAGGGTCTTCTGTTCCCCCCTTTTCAACCCGAGTTCCTAAATTCCTCTGTTCGGGCCTTTGGACTATCCGCAGGGGGGCTGCAGACCCCAATGCTGGAGAGGGGGGCTGCAGACCCAGAGGGCCGGGCCCGGGCCCCTCCCGATCCGCCCCCCCCCTCCCAGGCACTCGACGCCGCGGCTGCTGCAGGCCCTCGGCCCCGAGAAGGCCTCGGCCCCTTCCCCGGGGGGAGGGCCTTCGCCACGGATCCATGCCTGACGGCCCCACGGCCCGACGAGGGCCCCCCCGGGGCGCCGAAGATGACGGCAGCCCGCCCCGAGCGAACAGGAATCGGATCGTCGGGGCTCTGGGCTATGACGTGCCGATGCTGCCACTCCCCGGACGCCTGCCGGGGTGCGCTCCGAGCAGAGCGCCCCCGGCCCTCTGGGCACGAGTGGTCGCAGGAGCTCGTGCTGCTATAGCTCCCTTCTTCCTCCTTCGGGGGGGGGGGGGCCCGTCCCCCTGCCCCTCCCCCCTCCCCCTGGGACTGGGAGAGGCCGTTCCGCGAGCGGTTGGGGCGCGCAAGATGTCGCAAGATGGCACTATAGAGGGTCCCAGGCAGTCCAAGATGGCCTCCAAAGATCGCTGAAGAGAGCCCAAGATGGTTCAACATAGCTTTCGACGTGCCTCCGAGAGCCCTCGAGAGCGCCCCAGGGCGGCTCCGAGCCCCCTCCGGGCCTCGCAGAGAGGCCCCCAGGAAGCCCAAATCTGTCAAGATCACTGTGCGTGCTCACTGTGCTTCGCCTTCTCGCCTCTGAGGGGCCCAGTCGGAGCCCAACACGGCCCCGAGAGCACCCAAGAGCACTCAAGAGCGCCTGGAGCGGGCCCCAAGAGGCAAATGATCGGGCCCACACAGGGGAATCTCCTTAACAGAGAACCCTGCTTTATTTGACCGATGGCCTCCAGAATGGCCCCGGGAGGGCCCCCCCCAGGCTCCCAAGAGTGGCCCGAGAGACCCCCCAAGATGGCCCCAAGAGGGCTCCTAAGGCCTCCATCATAGCCCCAACAGGGCCCCAAGATAGGCCCAAGAAAGCTGCCAAGAGGCTCCCATATCGGAAGATCCGCGAAGACATTATGGTTGACTACTGGGCCTGCTCGAGCTGATCCCGATCTTCGGCCTGAGAGTTGCACCCCCCTCTCGGTTCCACTGCGTGCTGGCACACTTCCCTGCTCAATGCAACTCGCCTGGGCATCGCTGCTGGATGGGCTATAGTGGGGATGCTTTTTGGATCGCGACCGCGGCGAGAGAGAAGCGGGCGGCGTCGAGGGGCGAAGCACCGGGGCGACGGCCCATAAATCAGCGCACGGGAGGAGGAAGGCGAAGAGAGACAAGACCAAGCAGGGGAAGAGGCTACTAGGACCCAGACCCCCCGACGTCATGATTTTTTCATGACGTCGACCCCCAGAGGTCTGGGTGATTTTTTCGTGACTCGAGGGGGTCTGGGGAGGCGAGCCTCGCTGCCGCTCACTGGCGAGCGCACGCCAGGCTGAGCAGCGGCACACTCGAAACGAGCGCGAACCCCTGCGCCGGAAGGCCCCGGGCCCCATGGAGGCACCCGGAGCGAAGAGCAGCCCGGGGGGGAGGGCCCGACCCAGACATCGGGCGTCTCGAAAAAATCAAGACAGAGGTTTTTCATAGTTTCTGGCCTCTCGGGGCCCTCGCCGGGCCTCGGGACCGTCAAAAAACGACTCGGGATGAAACACCGGTCCCAGGGAAGTGGTCGGGAGGTCGGAGGCCCGCGTCTCGAAAAAATCGAGACGTCGGATGTCTGGGGAGGAGGACGAGCCGAAGGGCAGCCGCCCCCTCCGAGGCTGGGGCCCTCTCTGCCCGCACCCTCTCTGCGAGACGGGACAATGACCGCAGCCACTGCTTCTTGTTTGCGCCGTCTTCCAGCCGGCCGAAAAAGAAGCAGCGGTTGTGGTCATCTCCCTGGTGCCAAGCTCCACGAGAATGACCACCACCACTGCTTTGTCTCTGCGGGCCGGAAGGCGGCAACAAAAGAAAAGCAGTGGCTGTGGTCGTTTTCGCGCCCCGTACTCTCCCCCCCCCGGCTTCCCAGACCCCCGACGTCATGAATTTTTCATGACGTCGACCCCCAGCGGTCTGGACCCTTTCCCCGGGACCGGTTCTTCGTCCTGAGTCGTTTTCTGACGGTCCCGAGGGCCGGTAAGGGCCCCCAAAGGCCAAAAATCATGAAAGACCTCCCGTCGTGATTTTTTCATAACTCGAGGGGGTCTGGGTTCGTCGGCGAAGGAGCACGCCTCCGCATCCGCGGCCTCGCGTGCCGGGCCCCCGGGGCCGCGACCGGCCGCTGCTGCGGGGCGCCCCTGCCGCAGCTGGCCCCGCGGGGAGCGCGCGCCGCGCGACCGCCCTCCCCAGACGTCCGACGTCTCGACTTTGTCGAGACGCGGGCCCCCGACCTCCCGACCACTTCCCATGGGGCCGGCTTTTCCTCCCGAGCCGTTTTGTTGACGGCCCCGAGGCCCGGCGAGGGCCCCGAGAGGCCAGAAACTGTGAAAAACCTCCGCCTCGATTTTTTCGAGACGCCCTTTTTGGTTTTGGACTCCGCCTAGGATCATCCGAAGACGCCCTTAGGACGCATTTTTCGAGACGCCCGATGTCTGGGATCCGCGGGGGATATACCGCCTCCCCGGGAGGCCGGGCCGCGAGGGCGCGGAGTCCGCGCGCCGCTCGGGGCGGCTCGAGGTGCCAGAGATCCAGCGCAGTGACAGAAGCGGCTACACGCAAGAGTGACCGAAGGATTGCAAAAAAACCAAGGATTGCAAAAAAACCCTGGATTGCAAAAAAAACCCTGGATTGCAAAAAAAACCCTGGGTTTTTTTGCAATCCTTTTTGCAATCCTGGTTTTTTTTGCAATCCTTCGGGCAAGAGTGGCCTTCGGCGCGCGGCTTTCTGGGGGCCGAGGGGTTGGAGGCCCAGAAATCGGCACCAGCACCAGCACGAGGCGTTGCCTCCACAGGGGGGAGACGATCCTAGATTTCGGTGCTGGTGGTAATTCTGTCGGTCACCTCGGCAGGCAGAATATTACCACCATCACCGAGATCGGGATCGACTTCCGTCGGTGGAGGCACACCGCCGATCTTGGTGTTGGTGTCAACCTCTAGGCCTGCGAAGGGGGGACCGAACCTGGGCGCACAAGCCGCTGCTCCTGCTCCGTTCCCAGCCATCTGGGAACCCATCTGTGCCCGCACCAAAGGTCACTCCGGCGAAAAGTCATACGTCTGGTCGACAAAAGCAAGACGGAGGCCCTCTGTTCGGCCACGTCCTCTCGAGGTCCCCTCCGGGAGGAGGAGGAGGAGGAGGTGGAGGAGGAGGAGGAGGCGGAGGAGGAGGAGCAGAAGGAGGGGGCGGAGGAGGAGGAGGAGGAGGTAGGAGAGGGAGGAGGAGGCAGGAAGGAAGGAGGGAGGAGGAGGGAGGAGGTAGGAGGAGGAGGAGCGAGGAGGAGGAGGAGGGGGAGGGGCGGAGGAGGAGGAGGAGGGGACCTGCAGCCGCAGCGCCGCGGATTGCACGATCAGGCAGCTATCGCGCAGGCGGTCGTCGAAGGGGCGCCGCGCCGCGGAATACAGCGCCTGCTGCGCGGTCCGCAGCGTGGCGCGCGGCCGGTCGTCCACGGCGTGCATGTCCAGGGCGGCCGGGACTGTTGGAGCAGCATCTATGTCGACCCCCCCCCCGGCCGTCATCTGGGAGGGGCGATGAAGGAGGCGCTCTGCCGGGCCCGTGCGGCCTCCTCCCGGTCCGGCACCTCCTCCTCTCCCTCTCCTCCCACTCCTACTCCTACTCCTCTCCTCACCTCCTCTTCCTTCCTCCTCCTCCCCTCCATCCGCTTCCGGACTCCTTCCTCCTCCTCCTCCTCCTCCTTCCTCCTCCTCCTCATCCTCCTCCTCCCTCCTCCTCCTCCCCCTCCTCCTCGTCATCTCCTCCGCCTTTCCTCTTCCGCATTCCCGCCCTTCCCTCATCGTCCTCCTCTTCGAGGAAAGGTGGGCGGGGAAGCCTCCTCTCTCGTCTTCGTTGCGTTCTGCTCACTTCTCTGAGAACTCTCTCGAGCTTGCAGAGCAGACTGGAGTTCAGCCCTGCGCTCTTTCCTCGGTCCGACGGACTGCTACGCCTGGTAGGACCTCCGTGCGCGATCCTTGTAGGCACCAGGACCCTCAGGCTGACCCGATGGCTCCTGGCAGGGCCCCTGCTCGTCTCGTGTGCGTCTGCATGCCGACCCTCCACGGTCGTTTAGTGAACACTCCTGGGGGTGGTCGTCGCTCTCATCAAAAGGGTGCTCATCATAGCCTCCTCGTAAAGACTGCCAAGGTACAACTTCCAAAATATCGCATCCTACCGGCAAGTGTGCTGCTATCACTGGCAGCATCTTTGACAACACTGCTAAGCTTCTCACAGAGAGGACTACGGATGACGTGTCGTTTGTGCAGGACTCTCCTGGTGTGTTGGCTAGTTTGTAAGATTTCTGTGTCGTTGCCCAAATATTATGGTGACGCCCGGGTTTGTCAGGAGCAGTAGGCCTGGCCAATGCACGAGTCGGTTCGGAGCGTGGAGGTGGTTGGTTCAGAGAAAGAGAGAGAGAGAGAGAGAGAGAGAGAGAGAACAAAAAAGAGAGAGAGAGAGAGAGAGAGAGAGCGACAATGTCTCAAGAGTGCCCCTGGGACATTCAGGCTTCCGAAGAGCAGGCTCCTCTGGAGCAGACCCTCGAGGAGCCCGACAAGCATCTTGCTTCTCTCCCGCCCCCCACTCGTCCCCCCTCAGCCCCCTCACCGCCTCCCCTCGCCCCTCGCCCTCCTCCCCCTCCTCTCCCCTCGCCCGCCCCTCACCGATGCCTGGCGTGAGTGGGAGGCGGAGGAAGAGGAGGAGGGGGAGGAGGAGGAGGAGGAGGAGGAGGAGGAGGAGGAGGAGGAGGAGGATGGATGGATGGATGGATGGATGGATGGATGGATGGATGGACTCGGCATTGCGCTGTGAGTCTGATGACACTCACCCCCACGAGCTCACGAAACGAGAGAGCGCTCGGGGACACCTCTGAGCGATCGTGCGATCTCCTCGGACCGAACGAGGTCAGGCGTGTGGGCGCGCCGCGCAGCCGTGATCACCTTTGATCCGAGCCGAGCAGGACAGGAAACGGGAAGACGCCCGCGGGCGGGGGGTGATACCCCTCTGGCCCCTGGGGGCCGAGCTCGACGGCGCGGCGAGCACCGAGCAGGCTCCCTGGACACCCAGAGGCCCAGAGAAGGAAAAAGACCAGGCCGAAACCAAACATTATCCGACGGCGCGCCCTAGAGACCAGGGGCGGCGAGGGAGGCAAGAGGGGCATGGTGCTACAGCGAAGCTGCTGGAAGAACTCACGTCGTCACGTAGTGTGATGGTTGCCCATCTCTTTCTGTAGGATCCGTTGCCGCAGCTGATGAAGTCGGGTTTCCCACGTCGGCGGGTTTCCCACGTCAACCCTTTGCGGCCGCCTTGCCCCCCTGGGGAGGAGGAGGAGGAGGGAGGAGGGGAGGGGAGGAGGAGGAGTGAGGGGAGGAGAGGAGGAGGAGGAGGAGCAGAGGAGGGAGGAGAGGAAGGAGGAAGAGGAGGAGCAGGAGGAGAGGGGGAGGAGGCCAGGAGGAGGGAGGTGGAGGGGAGGAGGAGGAGGAGAGGAGGAGGAGGAGGAGGGAAGGAGGAGGAGGAGGAGGAGGAGAGGCAGGAGGAAGGAGGAGGAGGGAGGCGGACGGCCGAGGGGTAGGAGGAGGAGGGGAGGGGGAGGCGGAGGAAGAAGGGAGGAGGAGAAGGAGGAGGGGGAGGAGGAGGAGGAGGAGGCAGGAGGAGTGGGAGGAGGAGGAGGAGGAGGAGGAGGAGGAGGAGAAGGAGGGAGGAGGATCGGCGGGCTGCCCGAAAGTGCTGCCGAGAGGCCGCCGCCCGCGCGCTCACCCGCTCTGCCGCGGCAGTGCTCCCCGCCGGCCCTCCGGGGGTCCAGGGCCAGCCCTCCTCGACGGTGCGGAGCCGAAGGCGTGGCGCTCCCGCCTCTGCCGGCGATCGGCGACGACGGCCCCCCGCTCTCCCTCACTCCCTCCCTTCTCCCTCCCTCCCCTCCTCCTCCTTCCCTCTCCCTGGCCTCCGTCCCCCTTCCTCCCTCCTCCACCCTCCCTTCTCCTCCCTCCCTCCCTCCTCCCTCCCTCTCTCCTCCCTCCCTCCCTCCTCCCCCCTCCCTCCCTTCTCCCTCCCTCCTCCTCCGCTTCCTCCCTCCCTCCCTCCCTCCTCCGCTTCCGCCCCCGCGGGGGCCGGGACCAGGCCCGTCGGCCCGACGGACGCCCAAGCGGCCCTCTCCTCAGGGGGCCGGCCCGCGGCCGGCGAGCGACGCCGCGCGCTCCTGGGCAGGGCAGGGCGCCCGGGCCGCGATCGGCGGCCCGTGTCAGAGGCGACGACGGGGGCGAAGAGCCCAGGGGCGAGTATCCTCCTCCGCCCCCTCCTCATCCCTCACTCCCTCCCTCCTTCTCTTTTTTTGTTTTATCCTACTCATCTCCTCCTTCCTACGCCTCCTCATCCTCCTCCTCTCCTACTCCTCCTCATATCCTCCTACTCCATTGTTCCGAGGACATCTCGCGCGTGTGGAGGGCTTACAGGGAAGCCAGGTTCTTCTCGGGGATGGACAGACCTCCCTTTCGTAAAACGTGGTTTAGTGAGAACGACCTGAGGCCCAAACCTGGCGGGCGCAAGCCTGGAAAATGACGGCCGCGGCGCCCTCTCGAGAACCGAAAACGGACAATTCGCTAATCGACGTGTCACTGTTGGGGGTCCTGTCCACCCCCGAGAGTAGCCCAGGCGACCCCCAGGGGTAATGACCAAAATCCGGACGGGAGGTTTTGCGCCATTGTCGGCATTTGGGGGGCCTCGCCGGGCCTCGGGACCGTCAAGAAACGACTCAGGATGAGAAACCGGTCCAGGGGAATGGGTCGAGACCTCTGGGGATAGCCCAGGGGAGAGCAATACCCAGACATCGGGCGTCTCGAAAAAATCGAGGCTGAGGTTTTTCACAACTTTCGGCCTCTCAGGGCCCTCGCTGGGCCTCGGGACCGTCGAAAAACGACTCGGGATGAAAAACCGGTCCTGGGGAAGTGGTCGGGAGGTCGGGTGCCCGTGTCTCGAACAAATCGAGACGTCGGATGTCTGGGTACATGTATTCCGGTGCGCCGATGATCTATGTCGTTGTAAAGGCTCCTGGGCGAATACGTGTCATGCCCGCCCCTGGGCTGTTCGCCCCTACCGTCGCCGCCGACCGTGGGCGCCACCGGGGGGCGAGGCTCCCCGGCGAGACGAAGACGGCGACCGACGAGGGGGGCAGACCAGCCCAAGGGGGCGCCGACGCCTGGGGCGACGACGGGGGCACAGCCCACGGCGTCGGCGGCGGGCGTGCGACGACGGGGGCGAAGAGCCCAAGAGGCGTCGCCCCCCCCTAAGACGACGGCAGAATCGAGACCAAACCGGAGCCACACAGATCGGAGACCTCTGACGAGCGGCGGGTTCGGAGGACGCGTCGGGCGCCTCGGCCGTGTCGGAGCGTCCCAGGATGCTGTGAGAGCGCTCGGGAACGCTCTGGAGCGGCTTTACCTCGATTCTAGCCCCCCTCGATCTCCCTCTCCTCCTGGGCTGGCCCCCAGCCCCTCCCGCCGCTGCCCCTGGTCCTTGTCCCACCTCTCGCGGTGCTGCTTGTCCAGCTTCTGGATGGCGTGCATGATCAGCGCGGGCGGGAAGGGCGCGCACTCCTGTCGAGGAACAGGAGCGCGGCGCGAGCAGGACCTCCCGGAGGCCCCGGCGGACTTCTGGGAGCAGCGCCGAGCCCCAAGACACCCGCGCGGACCTCCGAGAAACCATGCCCGTGCCGCTGCTTGTTTCTAGGGCTCCCAACTTCGCGCCCTCGCGCCGCCCCCCCAAAGGGAGAAAAGGAGGACGAGGAGGAGGGGGGAGAAGGAACGAGGACCGCGAAGCGCGAAGCGCGAATAACTTCGCGCCCTCGTGGGAGCCCTTGTTGTTTGCTTGCGGCGCTCGAGCTCCTTCAGCAGCTCCTTCGGGCCGCGGCGGCACAGGCGCCGCAGCAGCGCGCTCGGCAGGTCGTCGACGTAGCGGTGCCGGCCCTTCGACAGGACGGTCAGCAGGGCGGCGAGCTCGGGCGGCCGCAGCGTGCGCGGCAGGTTCTCGGGGGAGAGCTTCGGCAGCACCTGGGGGAGCGGAACAACGGCATGCGGCGAGGGCCGTGGTGCGCATCGATCGACCGACGTCTGTCCCCACTGGCGTGGCCTGGGCCCAACCCACCCACAAAAAACAGTGGTTCCAATGTAAGCTAAAGATAAAGTATGATATAAACTAAAAAATCGCACCATCCCCTAAAAATATAAACTGCTCCCTTCGGGTCTCGAAGGGCCTATCCCCTGCTGGGGTGTTTGCATGGTGGGGCTGAGCTACCATGGCCCAGTGGGGATGGGGATAGGTTCAACGATTGAAGGGGCCCTGGGACACACAAATAAATACACACAAATAAAAATATTCCCCATATTTCCCCATATTTCCTGGGTTTCTGTCTTCCCCCCCACTTCCCATATTTTCAAATATTTTC